GCTGATTATTTATTTGTTCATTTTGTATGCATTGAAGTACAACAAGGGGCTGCCATCGGGCCTTGCAACATTTGTTTTGCTTTGCTGCACGGCGCACACACAAATGAAATGCGCGTTTAAATGAAAAATATCTCAAATAATTATAATAAATACTTTTTGCAACTCCCGCTTCCTGCCCTGCCCCCGCACTGAGCCCAACTGCCTGTCAAGCCGAGTGTTTTTCCTTATTTGTTTCTTTTTGTTTGTTTTGGGTCTGCGAAAAAGAAGGTCTTGGCACAAAATGCGCTAAAAAACTTCCCTTTTCACACACACACACACAGACACAAGCACACGCACACTCTGATGTTGAAAAGGAAAATTTAAATTAAACTGATTTGTTGCTGTTGCCGCTTCAATATTTGCTGCTGCTGCTGCTGGCTTCCGCTTGACAGCTTTTTTATGCTTTTTTGTGGTTTTTCATTGTTCATATTTGGAATTTCATGTATTTTGCATTGTAAATTGTAAATGCCAGCTGCAAAACAGTTAACGCGCATTTTAGCAGCATATTTTGTGTGTGTGTGTGTGTAAAATATCCCGAAATGCAACCGTTTAAGCCATGGCTTTTGAATATTAATAATACGCAACGTTGCACGCCTCGCACACACACACACACACACACACGGACGCACGTCTAATTGCCGCGGGTGCCACAAATATGCAAATCAAATTAATTTGTTGCTTATTAGTTTGACCCACTGTCAACTCAAATTGCAGCAGGCAATCAGCCCACCCAGACCCATGGCGGGGGTGGGTTGGGCGTGCCGGGGGCGAGCCTGACACCAAATTTGCTGCAATTTGCATGCGAAATGCTGGTTGCAATAACATAAAATGCCAGACAGACGAGCGTAGCAAATTATTGTTGCTGTGTTGGATCATAAACACGCCATACGCCCATCAATATGTGGCACGCCCCCCCCCCCTCCCTCTCACTCCCACACGTGGCCAATCAGGCGCCAGCATTCAAAGCGAAATCAACGCAAATTGAAGCGAAATTAAAAATGCAAAACATAGCGAAAAGCAGCAACAACAAACAAGATTAAAAAAAAATAAAATAAAACACAAATCAAATGGAGAATCGAGAATTGGGTACTGAGAACCGAGTCATTTGTTGGTTTTGATTTCGCACCCGCGCCAAATAAAGCGCCAAATTAGAAAATAATACAAAATAAAATGGAAAGCAAAGAGAAAAAATTAAAAAAAATATTGTGAAACAAATCTTTGTTGTTGTTGCTGTTGTCGTTGTTGTTGCTGCCACTTGAGGCGGAAGTGCGCCTCGCTAACAACAATGCCGCAGAACCTTAGAGGATGCAGCAGCAAAGACAGCCGGATAAAGCAAAGCAAATCGACGGCTGGCTGTGGGGTATTGCAAGGGAGCGGGACGGTAGCGGAGAGGGGGAGGGTTTGCTTTGGTTTACTTGAGCTGCCATTGTTATGACTGCTGTAATACGCTTTTGCGAGGAGATTACAATGTCTGATTACTTTGTTATTAATAAATACAAAAGCGTGCCACACACACACACCCAAACACAACAAATCACACACACACACACACATGGGACCGCGGGCAACGGTGCGTATACGCGCTCTCATTATCTGTTCTATGTGGCGCTGCGCATTGTACGCAAAATGTTTATTAATAAACTGTGCCACACACAGAGACAGCAAGCAGGTACAACAAAAGCAACAACTACTGTAGATACAGGTAAATGCAGTTTTGTCGCCAATGTAAATACACAAATAACAAAATGTATTCAATTTCTGAGCCATAAACATGTTGTTTGTGGTTGTCATTGTTTGTTGTTGTCGTGGAGCCAAAAATTTCTGAAGATATGCGTATTTAATGTAACATTTAATTTGATTTGCTTTCGCAAACATTTTGCACAATTTAATTGCATTTTAATTGCATTTGCGAACGTCCGAATGGGGAATTTATTCAAGTTTCATTTTAATTGAGCGTAAAATTATTATCACTTTTTTCTTTTTTTCATATTTTTTGTGTGTTTTTAATTCAGTTATGTTTTATATTTTTAATGAGGCGTAATTCAATTAAATCAAATGTATTTTCTATGCTGATTTATCGTTAATTCAATTGAAATTAATATTTCGTATTTGATTTTCGTCCTATATTGAGATAGGATTAAATTCAGTTAAGTCTCTTGTATTATATTATTGTTTGCCCATAAATTTGATTATTTTCTGCCAATTAAAACAAATATTTTGCTTGGGGAATTATTTTGTTTTGGTTTTCATTTAATTTGGTATTCTTCAATGCATTTTAATTATCTGTGAATTGCGTATATGTATTGGTTTGTTTGCATTCAATAATGCCTGATATTTTATATACTGAATTATTTTCTCATATTTGATTTTAATTTAAATTTAATTTAATCCATGATTTTAAATTTAAATAGGCTGCTTTGCAGTTAGATTTTAGTTTTGTATTTAATTATTTTCATTTTGGTTTCTTGATTTTATTGTATATACTTTTAATATATTTTAAATGTTTTACTTTCTTTGAGGAAAAGTTAATTGATTCTTTGGTTAAATCACTTTGTCACCTTTTTTCTTCAAATCTTTGATATTTTATTAAAATTTGTTTCATTCCATTCCGTACTCTGTTTTCTTTTTTCAATGTTTTTTTTTTAGTTTATTTTAATTTACCTTTCTATTTCATCACATTTCATTTAATCATTTAATTATTTATTTTACGGCTTAAATTGATTTATAAGCCATTTTCTCGATCAGTTTTTATTTTTTTGATTTCGGAACTGTTTGCCTAAACATTTTTGGGCACTTGCTTAACCATTTGTGTGTATTACCAACTTAACGATTTCTTAAAGTTTTTCCTTGTTTTTTTTTGATACCTTTTTCAAATGTGCCCCGAAACGATAAGTTTTCACTTTACAAAACGTTTTTCTCGATCTCGCTGGGTTTTTCTGCTTGGTTTGCATTCGCATTCGGCCACGTTGAAACCGCAACTGACTTGAATTTTCCGACGCAACGGCCTTTTATGCGCTTTTCCTGTCGGCTTCGTTGAATATTGAACTGAACACGACGAAGCTTTCCGTTAAAGCTTTTCCGTTTCAATTTCCACTTTCAATGCGGGGCACATTCAATGCGACTCTCAGAACTGTTTACAGGTGTTTGTTTTGGCTCCTTGGGTCGTTAAAGCTACTTTTTTCATTTTAAATTGGGCTGTTCTTTATTTTTTTTGGGTTTTTTTTTTTTTTTGCTTTTGGTTGCGGGTCACTTACCGCAACATTTGTTGGCCGTAATGGCGCTTGGCTGTTGCAGGCAACTGTTGCCACTTGTTGCTTGGCTTTCAACTCGGCCGAAAGCAGGCAAACAAATTGTCAGCCAATTTATAAAGTTTGATTTTCGATTCTTACCACATTTATAAATAATTCAAGAGGAAAAGCATGAAAGCCCATTTATGTTTATGATTTTTTGGCAAGCATATTAAAGCAAAAAGTCTGCTTTTTTAAGCTCGAAGCTTAATACCCTGACAAAAAGTTACTGCCAATAATACTTTGAGTATTCAAAAGTTAAAAAACTTTTGATAAGCTTGGAGACTTAAGAAAATCTGAAAATTCGCATGAGTTTAGTTTAGATACTAATTAAATGCTTACATACAAAGGTGGAAGAGAACAATAATATTAATGAAATATAATTAAAAATATAAATAATAATAATATTTATGTAAATAACAATACAACAAAGATTGATTAACAGAATCAATAAACGCATTTATATAAAACACAATTGCCTAACCATTTTGCCTCAGATACATATGGATATATATGTCCGATCCGTTAATGACTCAAAAACAAGCCTGACAAAGTTAACGACAAATTGAAAACATCCGCTGCCAACGGACGACAAAATTTAAGGCGATTGAAAAATTAATGAAACAATTGGAAAATTGTTGCATTATTGACAGAGGACAGACACATAATGCCAAGAACCTCGAACTTGCCTAATCAAAATAAGTGTATGCGGGCGGGGGGAGTGGCAATAAAAATAAAAAAAAAAAAAACAATAAAAAGGACTACGATGTGTCAACAAGGCGCACAGGCACACGTCCTGTGACAGCGCCAGGATTGCAAAGTGTAGGCAGGCATAACAAACAACAAGACAAATCAATTGTGAAGCCACATGCGAAAGGACAGCAAGGACGACGGAAATGATGAGGCATCAGCAAGACGGCGAACGCCGCTAAAAAGGATGATGACGATGAGAATGGAGCATGTTCCTGGAAGAGTTTCTATACCCTGAGCGGGGCTATTATGATGCTGTCACGAAATGTGTTACGGAGAAAATCTTACGACCGAAAAAGTGGTGAGTATGAACAGCCATATTGATATAAACGTGTCCGACCGACTGTGTCTCAGTTTTGAGATTATCGTCGTGACTAGATAGGAGCTATATATTGTAACTTTATATACAACAACCTTTATGTTCTGTTATAAAAAGCTCCTTACGAGTAAGCACGATCGGCCTCCTATATTATATGGCTACTATAGCCACAACAAGTCAGATAAAAATCTCTGCTACATAAGCACTTCTGAGCCACATGTCTACAAGGGTATTTTACTTTCACTCTGCCAAGGATAGGCTTCCATATTTCTTCTTTTCTTTTTTGTACGCCTTGTCGTGTGGCAAACAGAACGAAAACATTTTTCTAATTTCCGGTCATCAATATCAAATGAAATGTTATAACACACACATAAATATCCATCCACAGCAGCCCTTGCCTCTGTGCCGGGGCTTCAGACAGTCATCTAATTGAGTTGTTGCCACCGCGTGGCAAACTGTGCGAGTGTTGCGTATCAATAGAAAATTCATTTATTGCAAGCCTTTGCTACTGTGTACGTGTGCGTAAGCGTGTGCGTGTGCATGTGTGTGGGTGTGTTGTGCGTGTATAAAAATAAACAACAAATGCCGGGTCAACAAAATTCGACTTAGAAGCGCAGCCGCCTGATCGCGCGATAATGATAGCCATCGTCCAGCAAAGCGGCGGACTCCTCGCTCTCCGGCAGCTCCTCAGCCACCACGGCATTGTCATCGAGTGGCGGCAAATAGGCCTCCACGGGCGCAGCCGTGGGCGTCAGGTCGGGTATGATGTCGGGCGCGGCATAATGATAGCCATCCGCGTGCAGCACGCCGGCAGGCTCCACAATCTCTTCGTGCGTTTCGGGCTCCACAGGTGATTCGGTTTCCACAGCTGCCGGCTGCTCCGTGGTGGGGTTGGTGGGCGCAGCCTCTGTTGTAGGCAGCTCTGTGGTGCTAGTTGTTGTGGCTGGTGCTGCCTCGGTTGTTGACTCGCTTAGCTGCTCGAGGGATGCGGGCGGCAAATACTCGTTGCTCAGCTGCAGTGACTCCACAGGTGGCAGATAATCACGAGGTGGCGTCACAACGTGCGGCAAGCTGGCGGCATGCTGCTCCACGGGCGGCAGGTAATCGCGACTAGGCAGCGGCGGCAGCACCACAGGCGGCAAGTACTCCAGCGGCAAGTGTGAGACATCGCGACGCGGCCGCAACGCCGCAGCATCCATGCTGACAGCTGCCACAAGCAGCAGCAGCAGCTGCAGCAGCATCAGGCCGAGGTTTTGGGCTTGTGTTTTGCTATTAAACTGCAGACAATTGAAATGGCGGCTTTGATCTAGCTTTGAACTGGAAATTTACCGAAAAATAATGGAACTTACCATATTTGTGACTCAAGTTGTGGCTGGGCTTGTGGGGTGTTGCGTTATGCTGTGCCTTTTTGAAATATCTGTGGCTATTTATAAGAAAAATTAGCAAGCGATTGCCAAGAAGCGCCACGTTCGATCCGAACACGAACATCAGCCCTCGAACCGGAATCTTAATTAAACATGCGTTTCGGTTTCATATTTTGTTGTTATTGTTGCTGTGTTTGATTGCATCAAAAACATTTAGCGCGACAACACCTTCCGCATCTGTGTTGCCGCTGCTCAAGCTACATTATGGCTATATCTAAAGCTGAAAAGCTACAAATTTAGCTTCAAATATGCGCAAATATATAATTCTTTTTGCCTCTTCAAATCATGTTTCTTAATAGACAGCAAAAGCAGTTGTGTTTGCGACAATATAGCTTTTCTTAGCATGTTTCTAGCTAACCTTTAAAGTACATATGTTTGACATATTTTTAGTTCACTTTAAGATAAGTATTTTTAGCCACGTGTAATAGCTTTTTTGTGCCAGCTTGGCAGCTCTAGCATATTTTGAGCTACATTTTAGATAGTCATGTTTTAGATAATTTTAGCAACTTGTAGCAATTTTCATTATTATTATTAATAGCCAACTTTTAGCTTATTTTGGCCAATTGTAACAAATTTCTTGTATAAATATTGGTATTTTCAGCTCTTTTAGCATATGCTAACTAGCTTTGAAAATTTCAAGCCACGTACTATCATTTGTCAATATAGATATCTATCTAATTATCTTCTAGCCACTTTTGTGTCAATATAGCTTTTTCTGGCTGTCAAACTGCGACAACACTGTTTCGCATCGGTCTAGGCGCTATCTTCAGACCTGTTGCAACTGGTTGGAGCCAACTGATCTGTTTGTTTGAGGTTCGCTGGCAGCTCTAATCGCCTCAATGGCATGGTCATTGGCATCTCTATGACTTGATGGGGCACTTCTTGAGCGTTGCCAACTGTTTATCTATTTGTCTTTTGCTCGGTTTGTTTAGTTTGTTTGTTTGCTCGAGCTGAAGAATATTTCGCACTCAATTTAAAAATCTGTCAATATTATACATATATTATTTTTTTTCCTCGTTCACATTCTACAAACACAAGTTTGAAGACCGTAACTGAAACTGAAACCGAAACGCTTAAGATAAATTCAATGTCCCGCAAACAAATCAATTTCAATGTCAAATGTAATTTTTTTCTAGCCTTTTTTTTTATTAAATTTTTGTTTGTCTGCAAGGCCCCATAATTACAAGTTCAAGATGATGCAGCACTTCTTGCACTGCGGGTCAGAACTGGCACGACCCTCTGCCGCGTCTGCCGTGTCTGCTGCTGCATCATGACGTGGCAATTAAAAACTTATCACACACATGCGGCACGTTGACGCTGGCTAAGCGGCTTAGCGCCAACACCTCATACAAAGAAAAATGAAAAACCAAAATCAAAGCTTAAGAAAATTATAGAAATAGTATAGAGCGGAGCACAATCCAGACAATGCACAGAGTTTCAATCGAATGCAATAAACCAAGCTAAGCTGTCACAAAATCCGTTTTGCTCATAAAAATATTATTCCTGAATACACCACCTACACACACATGCACACACACACACGAACACATTTTACATATATATATCTATAAAGCGCCTTTATCTTTGTCTGATTTCCGCAATTTTCAGCGTGTGGCAGACAAACAAACGAGCGAGAATAAAAAATAAAACTCCAAAAAGTAAGGCCAGAAAAAGTTGCACAAAAACCCAAATGAAATCAAAAGCATATATACCATTTTTTTCAGCGTGCCAATAGCTACCCGAACACCCTACCCCTGCCTCGCCCACCGAACACCCGGCCACCAATGCTCACATTTCCTGCAGAGCTCACAGCGTACTGAAATTCAATGTAATTTCTTCCTTTTCTACATTTATTTTATTTTTTTTTTGTGCTTCGCCGGATTAGCAAAAATTGAAAACGTTGGCAACACCGAAACCGGAGCAGAATGCCGAACGTTTTATAGAAAATATACAAAAATGTTTAGTTGGGAATTTTAAACGAAATAAGCGGCGATGCAGATTGATAAAGGATAGACCAAGGCGGGTTGCGTGGAGAGTGTTTCGAGGTTGAAACTTTCGATTCCAAATCGAAACGAATTTTAAAATAAATTTCGTGATGGTTGAACGAAAAAATGTTTGCTCAATTGCAACTGTGACCACGCAAACAACAGCAAAAATAAAAAAGCCAAATATATGCAATTGAGAGAGCGAGCGAGAAGGAGAAAGAACAAGGGAGAGGGAGAGAGAAGGTGGGGGGAGGGGGATGCACATTTATATGGAAAACGCACGCCGTTCGCATTGCATACACTTTGTAGGCAAACAAGGACATGCGAGTCACTAGACAAATTTGCATACGAAAAAATATATATATATATTTACATATATTTTCAACTGTTGCCAGACGAATAAAAACTGGCATATTATAGTTGAAAAAAAAAAAACGTAAACCAATCAAGGTATAAAATTGTTGACTTATAATACTCCTGAAATTCATTAACCGGAGCAGTTACAAGTTGTGTTTAAAAATAACAAATTAATCTACAACTGTTGTTTTGAGACTTTTAATATTAATCCAGTACATTTCCTTTGATTGATAAAACATTTAAGGCATTCATAACTATTGTGCCGTGTTAATAAATCGTTCAATGACTTATATTTTTTAATTCCAAATATAAAATTAACATTTGTCACAGTGGCAGAGGTATGAATATTTGGAACAGGAATGAATAGAAATAGCCAAATATTTAATTAGATATTTATTGTTATAACAATAATAAATTAGCGGGTATCCCCCGGACTTGAAAAAAGGATTTATAATGCCCAATTCCATAATAAATTGCCTACGTTGAGTTCAAAGCTGAATTTGACAGAATCTGAAGCGATTCATTTGATTTACTTTGATTTGCACCTACAATTCATTTCGTTCTGAAAAAGCATTTCTATTGAGATACTTGGTTCATGCACTATATACTTTTGAGGTAATAATTTCAGTGATTCTTGCAACAAATCAAAAACTCTGTTAACTTTCAGTGCAAACTCAAAATGATTTGTGTGGATGTCAAAGAGTTTTATTTACATGCAGGCCGCGTTCAATTGCGGCACCTGCAGCACGCGCTCGGTGTGGCAGGTGTGGAAATGTTAGTCAATGGCAAATGTAATCACTTCATAAAATATGCAACAGTTGTGGGGCACAAACAGCCAACAAACAGGCAGCAAATTATACGCAGTTCACGTGACTGTCACTTTAGCACATTACGCTCCAATTACGCGTGGGGCAAGAGGGTGAAGGGCGGAGGGCAGACGCAGCAGGACTGTTGTGACAGGGCTTAAATCTGTGGCATGTGCACATATGTGTGTGTGTGTGTGTGTGTGTGTATCGCTTTCTGCATAATAAAATCAGCTGCTACTTGTCGCCCGCCTCGACTGTGGCTTTGCTACCCCCCTTCCGCAATCCTTTGCAGATCCTTAAGCTGCCACAAAGGGACAGAAAATGCAATGCATATTAAGCAGCGACAAGCACTTGTGTTCAGTTATGCAACAGGCAACGTGCAATATGTGGCAGCAACAGCTGCAGCCCACACACACACACACACACACATGTGCGTGTGCCGCATTCTGAGCTTAGGCAAAGCAATTTGCGCAACTGGCAAAAGCCAAGTCAAAGCACGCTACCAAAATTTAATTACAACTTGAAGGCTTTCGCTTTGCGTAAACCCAACTCCCAAAAAAAACGGAGAGCAAACATTGCAAATGGTTGCAACCGATGCTAAAATACTCTGTTCGAAGTAGAAGAAAGCACGAAAGGTTTCTCCTTAATAATTGGGATATCATGGCCGATCCATGACGAATCGAACCATGTCCCCAAATGAATTACCTAAGAAACTTCTTTTTGATTAACTAATTTGATTCAAAGTTTGGCTTAAAACCAAAACTATTCGTTAAGGGTATGTTCGAGCACGAACCTGTTCGATTCCAGTTTGCAACCCAGAATTGTAGATGAATATACGAAACAAATGGACTTCTATTAACTTTGCAAGCAGAGCATGAAAAGGGACTGAAGCTATCCGCGCTGGAGATTATTTATTATATTTCAGTTGCTGCTGATTTGCCGCGTTTCCCTTTCTGGGAAGCCTTCGTCCATTGTCAAAGTCAATTTAATTGTCTCAATTACGCGCTAAACGCTGTCGACAACTTTCAACGCGTTGACCGTAAGACCGAACAGTAGGTAAGCCCAAATCAAGCCAAGGTCAGTGGGCGTGGAAGACAAATGAGCGAAGCAGTGGAGCGACTGGGCGACATTCCTGGCGCGGGGTGACTTAATAATCAAGTGACTTGCTTAAAAGTTAACACAATTTTGTGGCAACTTCAAAAGTCTCCCACAAACTCTTTGGGACGCGCTACTGTTGCCCGTAGCACTCCAACTCGGCGCCAACTCGAGCTCACCTCGGGCATTGTTGTTGGCGCCCAGGCACAATTTTCACGCACAGTTGAATGCACTTTTGGGCGCTCGTCAAGACAAAAAACATCTTGAGAGAATTAGGAAAATTTTTGGCGTAAAGCGGCGTGAAAATGCGCAGGTGTTACGGCTCGCAGACTTTGTGGCACCCTGTGCATACAGGGTGGCATGGCCCACAATATTTACGACAACGTCGCAACTTTAGTTGAGCTTCGAAATTGGGCGCATTAGCTGCGCTGTGATATGCGGCGTATACGTAATTTACTTACGGAATAATTAAAAAGCGACACACATACACACGCACACAATACATCTACGCTGTCATTTTAATAACTTTACAGTTATTTAAGCATTATTTTCAGCGACAAATAATCAAAAAAGAACTTTGACCAACTTTGACACAACGAAGATTAAATACCCTTGTTGCGGCTTCTTATCGATCGAATGCTTCTATAGATGCCATTTCATATAGTTCACCGATTTGATAGGGCTTCATAGATAAATATAAATATAAGCTAAAGGTCTCAAGACGTCTCCTTGCACACATTGCCCGATAAAATAGTATCACCCTCTACAAGGGCATAAAATATCCGTTCTAGCCCAAAACTGAGCGACACATGTTAATTTTTCATAATCAGCAGCTGGGCTTAAAGGGTGGTGTGGCAAGGGGTAGGGGTAGGTGGTTTGACGGTGGCCGTCAGCAAAATTTTGTGTTTTGCAAATAGAGGAAATTGTACAAATATTGAACGGATATAGCCTGCGGCTTTGCTACCCTATTGGCACGAGCTGACAGCAGGCGGAAGAGGTTGCGGGGGCGATCGTGCCCAAAAACCGCGGGGATTGATTCAACAGGCAGGCGGGCAAAGGACTCGATGTGTGCGAGTGTGTGTGTGTGTGTGTGTGTGTGTGTGTGTGTATGCGTGAATATGCTATGAGCGTGTGTTTGTATTGTGTGTATGTGATTATGTATGTGTGAGCGCTTGGCCACAAAACTTGCTCATTTTACTCCTTTAAGCTGCTAAACCTATGCTGAGGGTCGAATGTGCGTGCATACATGTGTGTATGTGTGTGTGTATGTGTGTATTTGAGTGTGTACTGTGTGTTAATGCTAACGGTTGACGTTTATAATTTTACACCAAAACTAATTATATTAACATGAGAGGCAGCCGCGT